GCAGACTTCTGCAAAACAACAAAATCCTGAGCATATTTCTTCCAGAAGCTAGTTAGCTGTGAACTTCGTTGGCATCCTTTGACTAAGCAACCTTCCTTCCTTGTGTCTTTGTTTTTACCTTTCCCTGCCTGTAAGGAGAGTTTGTTTGCTATTCAAAATAACATCCTTTATCCATTTTGAACTCATCTGCTTAACTTGGGGAATCCTAGGCTCCAGCCATTCCTCTCCCTCCCCAGACATCTAAGCACTTACCAGATAGACTTGCAGGGAACGATTCAAATCCAACGATGATATCAAAATAAAGCCTTGCACATCAGTAAACAAGGAATCTTTCAATATTTACACTGTTTCCAAGACAATAAATACTCTAATATGATTGAAATGGTATCTAGAATTAACCATCCTTGTCACAACCCAGTTGGCTTTACAATAAGCATGCTCACCACAAAGTCAGCTTGAAAAGTGACATTTGCAAAAAAGCCCAGAGTACAAGCATATCATATTTTCCTGCAACACAGTGGCAAGAAGAGATCAAAGGAAAATTAAAGTTCTGCCATGATATGGAACAGTTAAATATGTACCACTGATCTACGGAACAAATTAATTCAGAGAGTGATTTGCTGCAGCGCATTTCTGTGGCGGGGCAGGAGGAAGAAAACATTAAAATAACACAGAAGAGTTACATTTACCTTTAAATACATGAAAGTCTTTTGCACAGCAAAATAAAAATGTAGAAGGCTTCATCCTTCAGCCTAGATTGCCAATATTAAGTCAATCTCCCAGGGTTTGGCCTGGGGACACCACTGCATTCCACGTGTCCAACACAGCAGCATTGCAGAACGGGTGACCAGCCACCAATGTGAACTGCTATTCTGACAACGCCGAGCCTCAACAACCAGCCAGTGCAACAGATGTAGATGTACGCTGCCAAATACATCTGCATTCCCCCAACAGACAAGACTGCTTGACAGAAACAGAGATAAAATGGTTTGCTATTTGAGTCCTGGAACACTTCTGGCTCACCTCTATATGGTGTTTCATTTCACTTTGAGGTAAGATTTAAGATGAGATATGTACAATCTCAGACTCTTTAAGAAACACGTCCAGAATGAAGATTAAAAAAAAGGCTATTTAGGCTATTTAGCAATATTCTCTACTACATTCCTGTAGAGGGAGATGAAAATAAAGACTAAAGTCTTCACTATTAATAGCAAATCCTTTACAACCTCGGTAACATATATAATTTCAGAAAGAAGATTCTTTGCCCTTTCTCAATTATTTTTTAAACAAAATGGGACCTTCCAAAAGGCTTCTCCTGAGTTACAGCGCATTGCCTTTCTTTGCCTCCCTTGCTACAGCTCCCGGCCCAGAGTGAATGGCACAAGAGGAGTTGGGGATAAAACTGGGGGCTATCCTCAGCTTTGAGTGGCCCCAGCAGTGAGCACTGGCAGCTGAAATATGTCAGAGCTGCTCAGTTCCTTCTTTTTTTTTTTTTTTAAGAAAAAGAAGACTAGGACAGAGAACGAGGAAGCTACAATTTCAAGCTTCTCCTCTAACCTCAGCACATTCCTTCGGACACGGAGGCTTCTCTCCCTCCTTTTAGTAGACAGTTCACAGAGCTCAGACTTCCCCAAGTTCCCTTTCTGCATCTCTAGCTTTCTCATCTCCACAAAATAAAAAAATATACATCTGATTCTCTCCCTCTTGAAATGTAGTAGGAGGTTAGGAGAGGCACTACTTAGAAGACAAAGCAAGAAATAGAAAATTTCTTTCCAGGCTAAGATTATAATGTGATATACAATTTCAACTGCCACAAAACAGCACTTTTCCTGACAAAAGCAGTTCTATTTTCATCTATCTTCCTCCACCCCTCCACCCCTCCTGCCCTTATAATAATGCAAACTCAAAACTGCAGCAGCAAAAGTTTATTTGTGCCACTGCATCATCTACTATAGTAGGAAACTATCTGGGTTGAAACTGCCTCAATAGTGCAGGACAAAAAAAAAAAAAAACCAAAAAAAAAGTTAGGTTTATCCCCGACCCTCTTCCTCATTCAGTTCACCATGTCACAAAAAAAAAAGAAAAAACCTTTCTCATGGAGTTGCACAGAAAATGCTGAACAAGCTACCAGTAACAAAGAAAGTGGGAATTATTTTTTTTGGCCACAGCTTTGTCTTATGTCAGTTGAAAGCATATGTGAAATTGCAACCTTGCATGAGAACTGTGGCCAGGAATCAAAAGGGAAGCAGTCTGGGAAGAGAGAATAGTAAGACTGCTTTGAACCTTAGTTTAAAATTAAAGGATTGAGGTCAAATTACACATTCTTCTCTAAACATTTTCTTTCAACGGCGCTAAGGCAAACCTTTTTGTTTTTTTACAAAAAAAACCTCACCAATAAGTAAGTGCAAACTTTTTTTTAGATGAATATTTTTGATACATAATTTAAAAGGCATTACTGTTACCCAAAAGAATGTATTTTATTCAGGCAATGAAAATCCCGTCTAATAAGTTTATTACATCACTGTTATAAGAGGAATTGATATAGTTAAAACTACCAAAGGCTTTCCCTTTCCTAATTTGTTGCAACTTGCCAAACAAAGCTTAGTTCAGCAAAAAAAATCTCTCAAGCAATTTCCTGACTCAAGTTGATATTCTGAAAAGTGTCAGTTAGAACCAGTCTGACTATGAACAAAAAAACCATGCTATCAGAAGAAAAAAAAAAAGATAAGGTTGCTCATGTTGAAGACATCTCACAGCTAAGCTCTTTCATTACAGCCTCTGGCACTACCCAGCTCTGGGAAAGGAGTTCTCTTTATGTGCTCATCTCAGGATGGCTTCCTGAGAAACAAATGGCAGTTAGGAATGAGGAAAAGGGTACATTTTTAAGTCTTAACATGAATGCAACAAGTTGTAGTTCTAAAGTTCTGATATGGGCTAGTATTTAACGTAAGTTTTTAAACCTGCCTTGAGAGAATACAACAGTAACATCAACAAAACCTGCTGAATTTGGAATTATTAATCATGAAAAAGATAAATGCCTTTGGCTTCTCCTGGATCACTGTTACTAAGAAAACCAGGAACAATTCCACAAAGCAGTTAAGAAAAACACCACCTTCAGGTTAAAACAAGATATAAGGTCATTAACAGTCTAAAAATGAGCATGAATTATCATATAAAAATGAACTTCCACACTAGGTCAGTTTCCATGACTGGATTAAAACAGAACCTAAAAGGCTAAATACATCAGAGAAAACTAGAAACAAACAAACAAACAAAAACCCCAAAAAACCCCCCAAAACACTATTCTGGATGCTTCCAGAACTTCCACTGTCATTCTGTTAAGAGTCTATATAATAAAGAATGAAAAGCTGCATCTCTTTTATCTTAAAAAGTTATCTAGTCTAATTAAAGACACTATCACCAATATCAAAATACAACTCTAATGACACCTCTTGCAGAGGAAACCTCATTTTATTGAGCCAAGCTTGTTGACTATCTAGTTTACCATTTATCTGGTTTAACATCTTTTTGCTTACTTTTTTAAAGGGATTATGAGGTTTGTCTTCATAACAATTTTTTTTAAATCGGTATTTCACTTTATCTTCTTACATTGATTTCTAAAGCAAATAGCACTAATCTCTTTTCTTTACATAACATTATCATACCATAAATGTTTAGAAACCAAAAATCAGGATCTATTTATACAAGTCCTTACCTCAGAAAACTCCTAAATGTTGAATGAGTTGCATCTCAAATCCCCTGCACTTAAGCTTTTTTTTTTTTTTTTTTTTTTAAAGACAGTATGGTTAGGATTAAACATAGCATTCCTGGTGAAATTATACAACTTATTTACATAATGACATTATCATATTTCAGTCCAAAGAGCAATTATGACTTATTTAGCATTTGTCTACCCTTCAAGAAGTCTTGTTGGTATGGTTTTACGAGCACTAAAAGTCTCATCTACACTAAGGTTATTGATATGCTGATGTATATGCTTTATTTTTTACTATTTTTTTCTCTATTGCTGACATAGACTTTCCAATAACCTCTGTACAATCTTGTCATAAAACCAACCTGCATTTTGGTAACTGCAAAATAATTTCAAGTGAGGTCCCTTGTTACAATATATAAAGTAGTAGTAAGTCTGAGGTTAAGTGCTTGAATATTGAAATTGGCCTTCCCGAGTCGCGATTTAAATTTCCTTTCACCCTCCAAATATTCCACTCATAAAAAAAGAAAAAAAAAAACTGTTTTTGCATGAAACAAAAGACATTCACAGGAACTAGATGCTTTATTTCTGAAGTATGGAAAAATGCATATTATAAATGACTACTTTGTAGTTTGTAGAAATGCCACAGAAGTGCTAATTAAGGTTTAATAAAGAGAACTGGTACGAGTAATAATCACGAAAGGAGTTGGCTGCAGATGACCATACAAGTACTACTTTTTGTGCATTTAAATCAGTCATCTCCTTGATGAGGATGACTCCTTCCTACAAAATCAAAAAACATTGGACTCTCCTGTCTATTAGGCAAACCTTGGAAGTAGCACCACTCTCTAGCATGCCTTCCTGCAGGCAATATTAATTACTTGCAAAGGGGAAGGGGCTAGAAATCATAACAAACAAAACAATCTGCTCATGAGATCTGATCAGGACTGCATGCACAAATATGAGGTCTTTTTTCCATAACTGTTTGCTGGATGAAAGGTTGGCCTCAGGGAAGAATGCTCACATAATTAATAAAAATGCACTAAGTCTACTACAGTATTACCACTACCCATGATTTACTTCAAAAGTAAAAAGTTAATACAGAGCTATTGATTTTATTCACTGTAATAATATCGTGATCTGAGCGGTACATACCAAAAAAAGAAAAAAACCTGAAAAACGTTATACAATTACTGAAAAAACACAAACCTTCAGGCCTAAAGAAGTCTCAGCAAATGACTGAGATAGCTTTATACCCACACAAGAGAAAGCTTTTAATGTCACATACCGATTTCTTTTTAATGTCCTCCAGATCTTTGAGTTCATTCTCAATCTTTGTGATTAAATCCCTGAGTTCATCAAGATTAGTGCAAATAAGCTAAAAAACAAAGGAACACAAACATTTGGTAATATGTCTTGGAAAACAAGCAAGAAAGTTAAATGAAACCTAGAGATACATGCTATTACTTAAGGAGACAACCTGATCTTTATTTTCTTAAAAAAAATGTTGATGTAAACACAAAAATAAGAGGACCATTTGAAAGGAAATCTAGTAAGAAAATACTTCTTCAGATATAATGCATCTGCTTGGCAGCTTCCATTTTGAAATGCAGACATTTTCTTAAGACTGCAGTGAGCAACACAAACTGTCAAATTTGTCTTACCCGTAGCAATGATTCTGAACAAATCTGAGTACCAAACAATTCCATGGTGAATCAAGGCATGGTAGCTTTGCGCTACACAATGTCTGGAAAAATTACAATCGCTAAAATTTCTACGTCAGTGAAGTTTCATTTGGTTACAATTACAATCCCAGAAACATAACCTAATAAATCCAGCCATTTTTATAAAAGAATAGAGTTTAACAAGAATACTATATTCTTGCAGTGCATTGTAAATTCTTCCCATTAATGTCTCTGGAGAATAGCTTTTTCCATATTTCCTTTGAGAAATGGAAATTATTTTCTTGAACAAATTATCAATAAGCAAAAATAAGCTGTACATTCTGATTTAAAATAACTTAGGGCAATCAAAGACTAGGAATTATTAAACTACTAACTTTTATTCAAATTGTTGCACACTAGGACTTGGTCCTTTCTGAATATCCTTAAGTGGAACAATTATTTTATTACTACTGAAAACAATGTTGAAATTGCTTTAGAAAAATCACACAGAACAAAACCAGAAATGCCATTAAAGTTTTTCTGTTAAATTGCTAATTTGTAACAACACATTTTTACTTCGACTGCACAGTTTTAGATTTGTAAAAAAATTAAATATAAATAAAAAAGATCAACCATATTGTTTCATTATTAATAGACAGAACTGACACCTTCAGCAAATTGCATGTATTTCGGAAGCTTGTAATACACATACACAATTATTGTTTTTCATAATGCTTGTGTACGTAAGACAGGATTGGGAAAGTAAAGTACACATAAAGTAAATATTTACCCAAATCAAGTTTACGGTGTTTACATTAAAATTAAAATAGAGAACAAATGAGGAAATTACCACTGTCTTGCTGTAGGAAATACAGTAAAATTCAACTAGTAAAAGGGTTCTCTACTGGACCTCTGCCCTGTACACATTCCAAATGTACACATTGCCCTGTACACATTCCACATGCCGTATAACAGATTTTTTTTTCCCATCTAACCTGAAGAAATATCTGTGGTAATGTATTATTAAACACAATATGAAACTTTTCACACACTTGATAAAAAACAAGAAGGCCTGGATTAAGTTTTCCCCTCTGTATCTATAATCCATCCTGTTGGCTCTATACCTAATAATTCATTTTAATTTAATCGTTTTTTATTTTCTTCTAAGGATCTGATTAATTCAGTGTGTCATAGATCTGAGAAAAAGGACAATTATGTTGCTAGGTAGGATACGGACCAAAAAACTCTGCTACACGTACTGCATAGCTAGTGCTGCAAGTAGTGCAATAGATTGCAAGAGGGATCATCTCAGTTACTTAAATGTTGCCCTTGAAACAGCAGCTCTACCACAGAGCTCCTATGTAACATCAGACAACTCATGTGGCCAAACTTTTCAAAGGTCCCAGTCCTGTTTCATTTTCAAGAAGAGTCATTTGAGACATGAGGATTCGATCTGTAAAACTGTTCACTGTGTGTCAATCCAAACTACACCAATGGAAAGACAACTTTAATACAAAAGGCTGCATTGTTTTGGGGATAGGGGACCGAGAAGGGGACTAAACCTCCAAGTCCAAACCTGGCATGAAAAGAGGTGGTATATGTGAGCCTGTGTGTTACTTTCTCATGGTAAAAGAGGAAAATAGCAGTAGCTCATCTAACACAATTTGTTAACGAAACAAACTTAGTATCTGAAGCATATATTGTATTGAGAACAGACATAAAATGAGGTCCATGAAAAAAATCTGTATTTCTTCATTCACATTAGTACTTGAGATGAGGTACCAGAGACTCACACTAATTAGGAAGATGTTATCTCTGAAACTCCTCTCACTTTCCAAATATTTCCCAAGCTACTTAGAGAAAAAAAAAACAAACGAACAAAAAAAGAACTGTAAGAAAGGGATGAAAAGCATAGTTATTTTAAAAGTGTATTGTATTCTATTTGAAAAAGAGGAATGAACAAACACAAGGATAAACAGTCTAGGGATTTTCCAAATTTTGGAATTTTGAGCTCAAAATTTAAATATTTTCATGGCCAAGACTTTAGATATAATTAAGACCTAAAAATAGCAATGAAGTTATTATCCATTTTTAAGTCACTTTGGCTGAAGAATAAAACTCACATAAATTGTTATTTTCTTATTTTGAGGGGCTTTACCTACAGCTTTATTTGATTTTCAACACACGTCAAAAAAGATCCCTTTTTTATTTTAGGTAGATTTCAGAGAACTGTTTCCCCCTCTTTTCCTTAAGTCTACTGATTTACAGTCAGTAACCATAGAAAAGGAAATAAATTTTCCTCAGATCAATCTGATAGGAAGCTATTTTACCTAATGGGACTCCAGTGTACACTGATTACTCTTTGTTGCTTGTGGTTGTTAACTGGCTGAACTTAGCTACTAAGTTTTCAGCAAGTCATGTTGCCTAGACTTGTTAATTTGTTCTACCAGATAGGCTAACATGATGCTAAAAGGAAGATAAAAATGTCATTTTAGTAATTCAATTACATTCTGATAGCTCACACACTGATCTTGAAGAAGGTGCCTTTTAATTAACTATCACAAGAAATATAATCTGAAAAATATTTATGAGATATCAAAAGCAGTAACGTAGTAGTTCCTGCTCTCTCAGAATATTGTGAAGTTGTTTAAACGTGTAGAGCGTGATTATTTACGGCAAAGGCCAAATGTATGTTAACTTCAACAGCGGTGTTTTCAAATCCTGACAAGAACTTACTACATATGAGCTAAATCTTCACAGGCACTAAACATTTTGGTATTTTTTTTTCCCAATTGAAGTTATAGGTATCCAGTTTTCCGGGGAATTCAAAAATTCAGCGTTCCAATTCTCTGAGTAAGATGCAGTTTCAGATTTCTGTGACCTCTCAGATATCCTACTGAGCACTAAACCTTGAGGAAACACAGGAATAAGGCAGGCCCCCCCCCCCATTTTTTTTAAGTTCCATGCTAACTTGGAACTCTCCAGTGATGCCTCATAATTTATAAAGAGACCCTCCCACACTATAAAATTATCTAATTCTGCAGAACTATTCATAAATGCATGCTGCTCTAGATCACTGATGCTCCCTCCTTGCTCCCTTTTAGCCAGTCAGAACTTCATGGTTGTTAACAAACTTAATGTTTGCTAACAACTGCATAATGCAGATTGGAGGCACTGCAGATATTAAGAGGTATTAACACCAATTTACTCAGCTTTTAAGCTTGATTTTGTTTTCTAGGTAAAAGGTCTATACTTAAATATAGGATCTATTTTTATGAAATCATGTGCATTATGGCTTTTGCAATGTGAAAATTACATTAATAACCATAGAGATATAAGGAAACTTACAGGTTTTTGTAAAAGTTTTTTTTTTTTTTTATTGAAGAGCTGACACTGAAGAATGATTAACAGTATTCTTACAATTCTTACAAGTATATTCCCTCTTGCAGAACTCAGGGCAAGTAAAGACTTGAGGAGCCTTATCGAATAGTTAAGATTATACCCACAGCTTCAAGCACTTACATAATTCTATAAAATTCAGCCATCCAAATATGTGGAACAGAAAGCGTAAGAAAAAAAGTATGATTTATACTGCTCTAAAAGATTGTGTAGTATTCCAAAAATAAATGATTTAGTATTTAAAAAATCATTGCAACAGTCATATTAGTCTGGCCTGTCCTTTGAAATTTATAGTTAATAGATCCTCTAATAAGACTGACCTGCTGGTATTGACAGATCTTAGACTCACCTTAAACTGATCTAAAGCACAGTTCTGATCAAAAGTATCTTTGTTACATTTTAATTAACATTGTACATAAGCTAGATACATACCGAGCAGTGCAATGTGCAGATTACATATTGGCTAAAATGTGAGACAGAATATTCAGCAGTTTAATAATGTTAAGAAGAATTTATAATTATTAACTGTGAACATCCATGCAATACAGGTAATGTGCTGAGAAAAATACAGATTTTTAAACACTTTAACTACTTCTTGGAGTTACCAGATGTAATTCTAGTACCTACCATTAAAGATACAGACAATGTATATTTAAACAGTGTCTAACCAGCTTTATCACCAGGAATTCAATTAGCTTTCCCTAAAACACTACATTATCATAGAAGAAACTAGTTCAGTTTGAGTATTTTGCAGAACAATCATGACTTAACGAGGGTCTACGATCAGAATATCAGATGGCTTTCTCAAAATAAGTTTTACTTAAGTCTTACAGCCAAAGGAGTACTTCAATCCAAGTACATATACACATATAAATTGTGACCTATAGTTTTACTACAATTACTGCAATACTTGTATTGCAGTGTCATAAAAAGGATGGTCTAAAGGTCATGTGCATATAAAAGGTAAAAGTTACAAACAAGCATTTGAATTTATATTTCTTTTTGCAAGTCCTTCTGTAAATCAAGCTACATACTCTCAGTTCAAGGATTGTAACATCACACCTCAAGCAAAACCCCACTAATTTTATTCATAAAGCATATATTTGGTAATATCTGCCTTCTAAAACAGAAGAATTGCTATTAGGCTATCAAGTTTTGCGCTTATTCAAAGTAATTTGTGCTCTTAAGAAATACTGGGAGATGCTATATAAATTGCACATAGCCAAAATGCTCTAGGATTCTCTAACACGAGAAAGTGAAATGCACTTTGAAGAATATTATAAGACAAAAAGCGATCTTTTGTCTGCTGTAACTAGAGAAAAAAAATGTCTTCATTTATAATTTCCAAGGTCTCTGCCAAACACTGAAGGAGTTTAAAGACATTCAGATTTCAAGTATTTAAATCGGAAAGGAGAAAAAATAATTACCTGAAATTCTGGTATGGCAGACTTCGTGATAGCCTTCCTCTTCTTTGTGATTGCTTTTTTAGATATCGATTTTTTTCCTTTTAAGATTAAAAGAAAAAAGCTTCATAATGTTGTTTATTGTACTTCATTAATAACACCAAATTACATACAGCGTTGAAAGTTAAATTATAACTAATGGATGGCTAATGGCAAGTCACATAAACATGACGACTCAGAACTAGACTCAGCAAAAGCAGACATTCAACTACAAGAATATGTATATGGTACATTAAAAAAAATGCAGTATTAATGCCCACACCTAAAAATTATGACACTACTTCAAGAAATCTGTCAAGTCAGAGAAGAAACATTTGCACCACTGTTTTGGAAGGAGCAAAATCCTGACCTTATTCCATAAATTTAAGAAATATTGTCTTACCTGCAAGATTTGTTTTCTGACAGTTTTGCAAATAATCCACACACTAGAGCCTGGGACTTCTGTATGCTACAGTGAAACATACACTCAAAGAAGAAGCAATTTCTATAAACTCCCAATTGGATACACCAAAGTTACCAATAAGATCAGATTATCACTTTATTCTGTCTGTGGCAGAACCTAACATTTCAGAAGAAAGCGAACACCTTCCTTTTTTAATGCACTTTCCAACCAGTTTTCTTTATATATCAGGATATGTATCAATCACTAACCAAGACAGGAAAATAAAATCTAAATTGTCAGGAAACCTCACATCTTACCTGAATTTTAAAATATCTGCTTAAGAAATGGAGCACTGGGTGAGGCTGACTGCTACGATGAATGTAGATCTGAAACTCCACATACCAAACACATAAAGGAGTTCCAAACCATCAAAACAAAGAAACAAAAACCCAAACCAAACAAAAAAAACAACCAAACAAAAAACCCACTAAAAAATCCTTGTATTTTCAAAGGGGTCAGAATCTATATAAAGACCAAATCTATCCTGAAACTAATTACTTAGTGAGAGAAACTAGCATAAAGAAATGCTATTTACCAAAAAAATTTCAAAGTACTCTCTTCATTCTATGTAAATCTGAACATGTAAAACACAAAAATGTAAATGTAAAACAACTTGAACATTTCTTTCTAGAATAGGGTCAATTTTCTTGCTTACATTTTACAAAGATGCCCCAGCTTTATATGAAGGAAAGTATCCTGCTTAACTGACATCACATGCTGACCCAATAATTTCCTGCTTGTGTACAACATTTCACAGAAAGCTTTATGAATATTCAATTTACATATTGAAACTGTTCAATATTCAATAGTAACTAGGTTACTATGAGGTAAAAGCTTCAAGCACTGTGAAAATACATACACAAATACATTATAACCCAGTAAAATTATGTTTGAAAGATTAACTATATAGAGCATAGGAACATTGCCGTACTTTTCCCCGTCCTTTTCCTTTATAACAGAGACGTTTACAACAGGACTGAGTAGCATATGCAACAGATTCATGCCAGAGATGTTTTAATACTATAGAACAAGTGATAAAAATGCAGAAACACTTAGATAAAATCAGTGACTAAAACATTTCGAGCATATGCCAAAAGAAACCCCTGAATCGGTTCATAACATCAACATATGTATTATGTATTTCATGGGTCCAGCAGGATTGCAGAGGATACCAAGCTGGGAGGTAGAGGAGGTCTGCCTGAGGTTAGGAAGGCTCTACAGAGGGACCTGGACAGACCAGATCGATGGGCTAAAGGCACCGTATGAGGTTCAATGAGGCCAAGTGGCGGGTCCTGCACTTCAGTCACAACAACCCCATGCAGCACTACAGGCTTGGGGCAGAGTGGCTGGAGAGCTGCGTGGCAGAAAAGGATCTGGGGGTGCTGGTCAACAGCCGGCTGAACACGGGCCAGCAGTGGCCCAGGTGGCCAGGAAGGCCAATGGCCTCCTGGCTGGTACCAGGAACAGTGCAGGCCAGGTGGCCAGCAGGGCCAGGGCTGTCCCCTGTACGCGGCCCTGGTGAGGCCGGACCTTGAACACTGTGCTCAGTTTTGGGCCCCTCACTACAAGAAAGACACTGAGGTGCTGGAGCGTGTCCAAAGAAGGGCAGTGAAGCTGGGCTAGGAGCTGGAGCACAGACCTCATGAGGAGCGGCTGAGGGAGCCGGGGTTATTTAGGCTAGAGAAGAGGAGGCTCAGAAGAGACATTATCGATCTCTACAACTACCTGAAAGGAGGTTGCAATGAGGCAGCGGTCCATCTCTTCTCCAGAATAACTACTGATAGAACAAGAGGAAGTGGCCTCAAGTTGCACCAGGTCAGACAGCAGCAATAATTTCTACATGGACAGAGTGCTGAAGCCCTGGAACAGGCTGCCCAGGGCAGTGGTGGGATCCCCGTCCCTGGCAGTGTTCAGGAAACCTGTAGATGAGGCACTTAGGGACATGGTTTAGCAGGCAGCGTGGTGAGGGGCTTACGGTTGGACTCGATGATCTTGAAGGTCTTTTCCAACCATCACGATTGTATGAATCTACGACTGAAAACTTACTTGCTAATATCAAGAACAGTGTTATCCATTAAAAGGACTAAAGTACACATCTGATATGATTTCTCTTGACAAACTGACTCAAAAACAGGTCTGGTAATATGGTGCTTACTTGTTTTAACATGGTAAAACTCTACTAGATAAGGATATAAAGCATTAAACACACAGAAGCTGCTAGACTGTCTAGCTTTATTCAAGAAAAATTTGAATACTATATATTTAAAAATTGTACATGTACATTAAAAATGACACACTTTTTAAAAGTCAATAGACATATACTCTCTTTTCCTCAATACTTCCTTCTTAAAACCAGAAAAATCAATTATTAAGAATTGCAGTTAATTATAAAAATAAATCAATTTGTCTCCATAGCAGTATCTGAATAGTATAGTATCTGAACTGCACTGAAACACTACCTAAATCCAGCTTGCAAACTGATTAATAATCTTTAATACTTGAAAATATTCAAATCCACCTACCTCTAAGGGAAAAATCTCCAGATAAAAATCAATCAAGAATCAGCTCTCTCCCGTAAAAGTCTTTCAGGGTGTACCAGTTTAGATTCTTGAACCACAAGCAGACATGTAGAGCCAGAACAACCTCCATGCTCTCCCGCTGCGTGGAGCAGGGAACACGTGGGCACCCTTTGCTCATGCAACCCCAACCGGGTCACCCAGCGCAAACTGCTGCGGGGCTTATGCGGTAGCTTAACCTGCGGGCTGAGGAGGGCACCGACTCCGTGCGGACAGTAACGTCACTAAGGCGCTGAAAAAGCACCCTGAGCGGCAACTTCTAAAACCACTCCAGTGAGATCTGCTAGGGCGCTATAACAGTCTCGACAGAGACTGTTTAAAGCACCTTAAATCGTTTAAACAAATGCAGTAATGTTACTCACAGCAGTTAGGCGTATTTTGAATGAAAACACACAGTATATTTTAGAACATAATCAGTGTAAAAACACTTAATTGCTGAATGCAACCAATTAGAGTTAGCAAAGCACATCTAAGAAATAATTAAAATAAAGACTCATAGACTCGTTAAGGTTGGAAGGGACCTCTAGAGATCACCTAGTCCAACCCACCTGCTCCAGCAGGGTCACTTAGAGCACGTGGCACAGGGTGGCATCTAGGTGGGTTTGGAAGATCTCCAGAGAAGGAGACTCCACAACCTCTCTGGGCAGCCTGTTCCCTCACTGTCAAGAAATTTTTCCAATTGATATTATTGAAGGTACAGATTTTGAATAAATTTCTATACAACACAATCTGATTATTTTTTACTTTTCAGTCCACAGCTTTTACTGACCAAATTTTATAAGTTATTTAACAACTGCTTCTGCCCCCTAAGCATACCACTACAAACACACTCATGGTATGGGACATAAATTAATAAATCTCAATTCTTAAAATTTTTTAAAGACAGACAGACAAAGCCGTAGCTGAGCTGATCTTGCATTTTTGACAGTCACACTTCAAACAAGAGCAAACAAGAGCTCAGACTAATGACCTTCAGAAGTTCCTTCCAATCCGCATTTCTACAAAAACAGCTTTACACAGTAAACCTAATTAAAATAATATAAATAAGAGTCAGTAAGTCTAGGGCACACTACACAGATAGAAGATAAAATAGTTTTTTTTCACGCTCCACTTGTTTATATCCCTCCTAACCTCCTTTGGTGAGAAAAATACTCCTCACTAAAACAGAATAAGAATTTTCCCAAGCTTAAAAAAAAAAAAGAAGTGTTCCTTTCCTCCCACCCAAAGCATGATCTTGAAGTATCTGAAGAGGACACTCCCTTCAACAACTACAGCTATCTAAAAGCTGTTATGTCTACCTCCTTGAGAAAGTAGTCTACATATCCAGCAGAAGCTGCAAGATTAAATTAGTTCTTGCAGATTGGAGAAGCATTTATTTGAAAAAGTGTTTGATATTTTTTTCAGAAATCTTGATGAATACCATTTTATTCTGATTCCAGTTTCCATTATAAGGCAATACTTGCAATTAACAATAAAATTTTATTTCTATTTAAACTTTAATTTGAAATATAGTCAATATCTGCGAAACAAAAAACACACAAAGCAAAATAAATCTCACTTGTCAGAATTATATATTTAATAAAGAACTGTATTGTATAAAAAAAATATTTAAATATATATATGAAACTTGCTTATTGCTAAAGATGTGTCCACATTGCCTTTTCCAACATGCTCCACACCTCACTTAGGTTTTGAGTCAGGAGGAAAACGGTATGAGACAGCTTGCCTTAGACAGAAGTTGTACCTCTTATCCTTTCTCCCCACCTCCATTCTGCATTAGCTATCATTATTTTGCCTTCGAAACCAAGAGAAAACCTGAGCTATTCGGCAGACTAGGCAAGGGACAACTCCTGCTACCTAATGAAAGAGCCCTTCAGTGCACAGTGAGCAAATCAGAACTGTGTAACAAATAAACACTCCTTTTCATTCTCTCACAGAGGATAAAGAAAACACACAGGTTTTTCTTGGTGCTGTCTTGGTTTTTTTTTCAAGCCAACTACAACACATATGGTCATAAATTATA